TTGGTATCCGGGGTCGAACTCAGGACCTTGAGTTTGCAAGGTATGTGGCAGAACCACCAAGCTAAATCCAGGCCCTATTCAATCTTTTTTTTTTTAATAGTTTTAAAAATGATGGTAAAAATATTACAAAATTTGTCATCTTAATTACTTTTAAGTAAACAGTACAAGTATGCTCCTTGACTCTTTGCAGTCTTTCCCAACTGGAAACGCAGTATCCACTGACTTCCTGTTTCTCCATCCCAAACCTTGGCAACCCCTCTGCTTGGTCCTACATTGCTGCTCCCTAGAAGAGCAACAGCACAGTATGTCTTTTCAGGACAGGCTCATTCGCTGGGCCCAGTGTCCTTACGGCTCATGACTGTGGTGGCCCGTGTTGGAACTCCCTTCCTTTTTAAGGCTGCATACCATTCCACCCAACATACAGACCCTGCTTTGCACCTCCTCTTGGCTCTGGATGGACTGGGGCTGCTTTCGCATGTCCTGCATGTCTGCTGTTGTGACACCGTGAACCTCAGTGCAGACTCGAGTTGCCGTGTACAGACTGCTTGCACTTCTGGATGTGCACTCAGAGGCGGGGCTGCTCCATCACTGGTAATCGGATTTTTGATTTTTGGGGGCATGCATACTGTTTTCCACAGCAGCAGGACTATTTTATACCCCCATGGACACAGCCCTCGATGCTTTCTGTGGTTTTGTTTCATTTATTTGCCTATGTATGTGCAAGGGGTTAAACCCACAGCCTCCACACTGAACTATATCCCTACCCCTCTTATGCTTCTATTTCGAGACAGGGTCCCCCTAAATTGCTAAGTTTTCTTTCTTTGCAGGGGCCAAGATGTCCCTGCCAAACCCAGCGTCATGGAGGTCTGCCCTGTACTGTTTTCAAAGTTTCATGGTCTTGGATCTAACGTCCAGTTTATTCATTCCTCGCTGGAATTACAAGTGTGTGCCACCATGCCCGGCTTAGGTTTATCTATTTCTGAGAATATTAATTACTTTTGATTCTTAAAATCTTAAACGATGTGATTCTCTGCGGCGCAGCTGGGGGTGCATTGGGTGGAAGCACTGAGACCCGGCCGGCATCCCCCGAAGACGACGTCTGGGTCAGCACCGCGACGCCCTGACCCACCGCCCCCAGTGCAGGCAGGCGCCAGCAGGGACAGAGCAGGCGCAGAGACACGAGCCCCTCCTGTGGGAAACTCAGGCGCAGAATGAGGTGGACAGTGAACATCTGCTCCCCATGTCGTCCGCGGCTGCCTGCTCGGCTCAGCCGCTTTGTGGGTGACGTCTCAGACTGTTCCTGCGCGTGTCCCCGAGCTGCCCCTCTGTCCCTGGAGCCTCACCGCCGAGCAGGAAGCTGAGTTATGTCACAAAGCCAATGGCACATCCTAGCTCAGCTCTCTTTCTAGAGTCTGTGACCTGGGGCGGGGGGCAGCACAGGAGAGCCAGGAGATCAGGAAGGACCCAAGCTGGGCGTGGTGGCGTATGCTGTGATTCAGCACTCAGGAGGTTGAGGCAGGAGGATCCCTGGAGTTCCAGCCTGGGCTGCACAGCTAGACACCATCTCAAAAACCAGATTAAAAGAAGAACAAGCCTGAGCCAAGCTCAAGAGAAGGCCATGCTGAGCACCAGGAGAGGTCCATGGCTCCCTTCCTTCTGGCCATCAGAGGTCAGCAGGCTGCAGTAGTTCTGAGATCCCCAAGCACTCGCTAAGGCCTGGGGTGGGGCTGGGGGGCGCCATCAGGGTGCAGCTGCCCTTCAGCACCAGGACCAGAGAGAGGAGGAGGCTTGGCGCCCGGGTCTGGTCTGCTGTGTGACCTCCCAGGTCCCCTCCCCTCTCTGGGCCCCAGGTCCCAGGCTGAGTACAGGCGCGGGTCAAGGTCTGAGGCCCTGTGCACCAGGGCTCCTCGCATGGGCTCCCCCTTGAACCAGAGGGAGCAGCGCTGACACACACAAGGGCAGCTTCTCCCGTAAGTGCTGATAGACGAGGGACAGGCGTCGCCTCTGCCTGGGACCATTCCTTACCTCTTCCTCCCAGGACGCTCCTAAGGGCCGAGTCTTCCCTGTGGCCCGGGCTGAGCCCCTGGAGTTCAGGGCTTCAGGACATAGGGGGCCCTGCCTCCCTCCTCCAGGGTCCCCCTCCGTCTGGGCTGAGGTCCGGCGGGGGGGTGTTTCTGAAAAATGTGTAGAGGAAGGCGTGGGATGGTCCAGGTCCTCTCAGACCTGTATGAGTGTCAGAACCTCCTGGACCCCTCTCAGAGACGGCCCGGGCTTAGAATACGTCTTACAGGGTCTTGCTGTGTAGCTCAGGCTGTCCTGGATCTTGTGGGGATCCACCTGCCTCAGCCTCCCAAGTCCTGGGAAGACGAGTGTGTACCAGGTCACCTGGCCTGTTTTCACTTCCAAGTGGGAGAAATGGCTGCATTATTTTCTCCGTTTGGAATTGTCTTGCTTGGGTGGGGCGCGGTGACTGCAGTCCTGCCCCTCAGAGGCCTCATGAACTCCGTCCTGGCAGCTGGCCTTGGTGTGGGAGGGTGACACTGGCCCTGAGCTTCCCACTTTCACAGCCCCTGTGGGTCCCACCTTCTGTCAGCTCTGTTGGACACCACGGCCCTTGTTGTTTTGTTTTTTGCATTTTGTTTAGTACCAGGATCGAGCTCGGGACCTTTCGCTTTTGAGTCGGGCTGTGGCACCACTGAGCTAAATCCCCGCCCGTTTTTGTTTTTAGTTCCACTCGTTCACATGGTCTCACTCAAAGGTTCAATTGTGCCTTGTGCTGCTCAGCACCACAAACCTACAGCACTGAGCTTTGTCCTCGGAACGGGAAAGAAGCCAGGTGACCAGGTGTCCCGGCTTGTGCAGAGGACACGGGGAGGTGGCCTGGACCCTCCTCTCCCCTCCTCAGTGCTGCCTGCACTTCTGCCCTTGGGCTCAGCAGCTGCAGTGCTCACCAGGGACCGCTCGGGCTCTGGGTCCAGAAATCAGGGTCCCGCTCAGGACAGCAGGAAGAGGCTGCCTGTGGAAGACAGGGGACAGCGACAGCCACTACCCTTACTGTAAGGGGCCCGGACTTCTCCCACAGAGTGAAAACCTATCCTGCGGCTCCCGCAAACAAAGTGCTGGCCTGTCCAGGTGGGAGCGGCCAGGGAAGTAATGCCCAAGCTAATGGTTGGGACTTCTCCCCCTTGGCAAGGGTCTCAGGCTTGGCCCTGGAGTCTGATTTGTTATCCCAGACGCGTGTGTGCGTGTGTGTGCGCTGTGGTGCTGGGGGCTGAACCCAGGGCCTCTGCGCTCAGCTCCACCCTCCGCCACTTTCATAGTTTTTGTTTTGGAGGCAGGGTCCCTCGAAGTCACTAAGTTGCCCCCCAGAATGCTGTCTCAGCCCCCAGAACGCGGGGTTGTAGGTGTGCACCACCATGACCAGCGCCTGTGCATTTCTGCAGAGCTCTTCGAGGCGTTGCTGAAGGCAGGCACAGTTTCGCCTTCTTGGGCTGGGCTATTTACAGAAAGACCCAAAATGTGTGATAAGCAGCCGCAGAACAGCCCATTGCTCAGTGGTTTCTCGCCCTGGCACTGGGTCATTTGACCTTCACCTTGTGTGGATAAATCTGTCACCAGCGGCCTCCAGCGCCCCGTGTGCTCGGGACACCGCGGTCCCAGTCTGTGACTCCCACATAGCTGCTCAGATTTCCAAAGCTCCCCCAGTTCTAACTCCATCTCCAGAGGGTCTGGGCCCTTCACCACTGAGACTCCGAAGACGCCTGCAGCAGCTGTGGAAGTGAACAGGGTGGAGTGGGACAAAAGAGGGAATAAGGCCAGTTCGGTACACAGTCCTGGGCAGGCGGGATGCTAGCTGGGCGATCCTAACGCAGAATTAAAGGAGCTCGGGTAAATTGCCAGGAATCCAGGCAGATTTAACTTCTCCGGCTGTTTTCCCACTTGTCGTATGGAGTTCGCAGCAGCCCCCTCACCCTAGGGTTTGGGAAGACTGAGATCACCCAAGTGAAATAAATCACCACCACACGGCTGCTCTCTGAGCCACGCTCGCAGGAACACAACTAAAACGCTAACTGCCTTCCCGCTGTGCTCGCTCAGTGCTGAATAAAATGCACAGCAAGGAACTGGGCACGGCGGGCGAGGCAGGAGGACCTGAGTCCTACACCAGCCCAGGCCGCTCAGCAGGCTGAGTTCTGTCTCTGGTACCATGTTTAAAAGAAGAAATCAAGAAGAGGGAGCGCTAGCAAGGGAAAGCGGTGGAGGGCTGGAGGGCGATGCCTGTTCCACACCAAGGGCAGCTGGACGCTGAGCTCTGAGAAAGGCACAGTGGTGGAAAGGACCTGCCGCGTTCTGGGAGCTAAGTCCTCTTCCACGGTTACCTGTCTCGTTTCAATGAGGAGGAGGAGATACAATGCGTTGGCTTTGAGGGTCAAAGCCCAGGTGAGGGCCAAGATGCATGGTTTCCAATTTTTGTTTTGTTTGTTGGTTGGTTTTTTTGGAGACAGGGTATCGCTATGTAGCCCAGGCTGGCCTTGATCTCACGGTGACCCTCCTGCTTCAGCCTCCCCAGTGTCGGGGTTAAAGCGCCTGCCCCTGCGCCCAGCTCCCCTACCTCACTGTGTGTGGTGCTGGGGAGGGAGCCCAGGGTCTCCCTCATGCTGGGCCAGGTTGTAGCACTGGGCTCGGCCCGTGAGATACCGGGTACCCAGGCTGTGCCTGCTACAGCTCTGCTTAACCCTCGGTGAGAACGGGGCAGCAGACGGCTCAGACCACTTCCGCAGGGCCCCGCCCACCCGCGCCCCTCTGATGCCGGCCCAGCGCCTGGCCAGAGTCTGCGGCAGTGAGGTGCCCTGTGTCCATCCGCAGCCAGCCCAGGCGCCCGGTGCCTTGGTCCCGGCCTCTTCTGTCCTGACAGCCTGGTGGGGGCCAGGCCAGGCCTCATGGTCTGGGGCCTCAGTCCCCAGCTGTGACGCGACTGATGTGTCAGAGTCCAGCGTCGAGGCTCTGTGGAGGCCCACAGAGTCAGCTCGCATCCACACTGTTCCCTCTTCTTTTCTGAGAAGAGGCGCCGATCTGCTGTGAGGATGAGGGTCACTGGAACAGCTGGTCAGTCGGCGCCGGGAGAGCCCAGAACCCTCGCCGTCGTGAGGGAGACGTCCCAGAGCCGGTGTGCCGAGGGTGCGGCCGGACCTGCCCCGTGTGACATCCCCACCCATCCGCCTGCTTCGTGCTCCTGCAAAGGTCCATTTTGTTTCATATCGCTTAGTCTTGAACTCACTACGTAGCCCAGACTCTTCGGACTCTTGGTGATCTTCCTGCCTCAGCCTCCCCGGTTGGTTGGTTGACAGATGTGCGCCACTGCTTGGCTCTGGAAGTGTTAAGAGGTGCTGACCGACCAACATTTGTTTGTTTGTTCTGTCTTTCTTCTTTGCAGTGCCGAGGCGGGAACTCGGGAACTTATTCCTGATACCAAGGAGCTACACTTCTGGTCCTAACCGCCAACTGTGATTTAAAAAACCGAGCCCGACGCGTGTTCCTTAGTTTCCCAGAGAGGAAGCTGCCGACGATAAAAACAAAGGTAAAAACGGCCTCTAGTCAACGCCACGTCGGGGGCATGGACTTCCACGCCGCTGGCCCCCCCAATCCCTCATCCTTCTCCCCCTACCCGAGGGCTCCCGCGTGGCTGAGGTCTCGCGAGGTCTGGTCTGGGCGAGAGTGCCACGTGGGCGCAGTGCCTGGCGCGGCAGCTCCTGCAGTTGCTTGGGCAGTGGGTGGGTGGGGAGCGAGAAGATTAGTCAACGCCACGTCGGGGGCATGGACTTCCACGCCGCTGGCCCCCCCAATCCCTCATCCTTCTCCCCCTACCCGAGGGCTCCCGCGTGGCTGAGGTCTCGCGAGGTCTGGTCTGGGCGAGAGTGCCACGTGGGCGCAGTGCCTGGCGCGGCAGCTCCTGCAGTTGCTTGGGCAGTGGGTGGGTGGGGAGCGAGAAGATATCGGCGCTCTGGGGCCCTGAGCCCACAACTGGCACAGGAGCGGGTGGGCCCTGCTCCCTCCACCGCCTTGTGGCCTCCAGGGTCCCTGAACTTGTGATCCCACTTCTGCTCCCTGGGGGCTTTCATGGTGTGTGGGCTGGGGAGTGAACCCAGGGTCTCTCCACTGAGCCACTTCCCCAACCCTTCTTATTTTTATATATTATTTTGAGGCATGATCTTAGTAAGTCACTCATCTGCCCAGGCCGGGCTGAGTCTGCAACCCTCCTGCCTCAGCTTCCCGAGGGCTGGAATTACAGGTGTGCACTACCGCACCACGCTTCTCCCATGGCTGAGAGCGTCTCCACCCGCGCTTCTCACTGCGGACCTTCAGCCTCTGTGCTTGGAATCCGCATCCCTTTTCGTCAGTGGGGAGGGGCAGGCCCAGACTCCCCCGAGCAGGTTGCAGCTGAGCCCCATAAGGTTTCCGCATTCACTGCCTGGCTCCATCCTAGAGCCTGGTCCCTGGGGCGAGTGGTGACTCGGACTCCCGGCTGTGGCATCATAGTGGGGATCCCTTTGGCTGCCAGGCCCTTCTGTCACCGCCCAGCCCTGGGGAGCTGCCTGGTCCCCATCTCTTCTCCGGGAAGCCCGGGCTGGCGATCCGCCTTGGTGTCCCAGAGCAGCAGCTCCTAGGCTGATTGCTGAGCATGCACAGGAAGCCGCCCTAGAGAGCCCATGCAGCTGCTTAAAGTAACAGCCTTTGTTTCACTCATGAGTCTGTAGTAGTTTGTTTTTGTTTGTTTGTTTGTTTGTCTGAGACAGGGTCAGACCAGCATTGAGCTCATTATGTAGTCTCGGCTGGCCTCAAACCCATGGGGATCCTCCTGCCTCTGCCTCCCAGTGTGCTGGGATGACAGGCAAGTCCCTCTGCGCCCCTGCCTGGCTGAGAGCACCCTCGAAGGAGTCAAGAAGCACCCGCTGTCCATGATAGTCCCGGAGCAGCAGCCCAGGAAATTAACCCGGGGGAGCCCCTCGAAGTCCCCAGCACAGTCCTGCCTCGAGGCTGCATTGCAGCAGCGATTGCCTCTGAGGGCCAACACTGCCTCCTCCCAGACCCAGTGCGCTGCTCACCTCAGGCCCTCTGCACCCCGCAGTGCGGCCCCTGGTCCTCACCTGCCCCCCTTCCGTTCCCTCCCCCAGTGCTCACTCTTCAGCTTCGGTTTCACAGGCTGTCCCTTCCCACCCCAGGACTGTCAGTCTGTGGAAGTCATGTGCGTGACCAACTTCCGCTGCTGCACTTACCACCTTGTTTGCCAGTGTAGCCAAAGGATTTAGTCCAGAGCAGTGTGCAAAGTGAACTCTAAGGCCGTCCTGGGTGATAGGTCAGGTTGTGCACTGATCCACTGCAGAGGTCTTCTGCACTGTGGACGCAGGCCCCAGAATGGTGCAGTACCCACCCTGAACACACAAAGCAGCACAGCAAATAGTTTCAATGTATGGCTAAATAAGTAAAACGAATTTTGCACTCTTTGTCACTCTCTGTTAATAATGAAATTGACATTTGGCAAAAGAAAAAAAAAAATAACCCCAACTGCGGTGTGATCTCTTTTCAAATGGCAAAGAATGAAACTGGGGGAAAACATGCTTAGCGCCGTGGTCCTGAATGAGACTCACCTGGTGGCTCTGAACGCTCACTGACGCTGGGCCCTTGTCAGCCTCGGCAGAGGCTCCGGCAGTGTTGTTAAGGCTCCCTGAGATGTCTGTGATGCGCTGCCGAGGCGGAGACCCTCTGGCCCAGAGAGCATCAGTCGTCCAAGTGCTAAGCAACCACCGGGCAGTCCTTATCCTGGGTTCCGACCTCCCGAGTGACAGCTCCTCCAGGACACCGCACGCAACACGGGCCGTCACGGCCACCCTAGGCTTGTACATTTGTCCTTTCTCCTCTCTTCCTCCTCCACAGGCAGCCCATCTGATGTGTTTGATGTAGATCCAGTGTCCCAAGCACTATCTCAACTCATGGTTGAATGCTTACATCGGAAGAGTTACTACACTGACAGACACATTGCTACAACTCCACCTCCGATCCTCTCCCCCTTCATACCACGCTCAGCCCATCATTGTGGCCACTTTCTGGAGCAGTTCCGAAAGTCCTCCCTCCTGAGAGTCTTTACAAAGTGTGGTCGCAGCTGCTGCCTCCGAGCGCCATCCAGTGAAAAGCAGGCTCCTAAAGACTTGACTGCGTCTTCATTCACCCCGCTCACCAGCGCTGGCACTGTGTGACTTCGGCTCCTCCCCAAAGTCAAGATGGCCATGGAAAGGAAATATTTTGAATTGACTCAGGACATTGAGGCAGACACTCATGAAACAGCACTTCCAGAAGTGCGTGGGAAAGTGACAAGAAAGAGGGGAGTAGTGTGTTCTGAGCAAGGGGAACTCTGAGGGAGATGAATGACCGTGTCTTATACTGTAACAGTTTTTAAACGTAAACACTGCCATGTATTGTGATTGCACAGTATGCATTCTTATAAAGACGTGTCGTGCTGCTTTTTATGCCTGCAGTTCACGTCCTTCAATGTGTTGCGTTCAGACTGGCTCTAGTAATATTCCCTTCCGTCCCTGATGCTGGGCTGCCCCGCTCCAGGCCACATCCGTTTCATTTTCCCATCCACAGTCCGCTGCTATTCACCACGTTGCTTCCAGTCCCCAACAAGCCGCCGTGCAGTACCCTTCCTTCCTCACGTCCCCGTGCCGGTCAGCTTTCCAACCGCTGGATGCCGCAGTACTAGTCATCCACGACGTGAAGCGGGGAGGTCACATCTGTCTTGTGGTGTCAGGGGGCTCGGGGGAAAACCATCATGGCGGGAGGACGTGGGGGAGCAAAGTGCTTAGCCGGGCTGTCCTGAAAGCAGAGCAGGGAAACACACCAGAGAGGGAGGGGCTCGGGTCTGGTCAGAGACCCAAGGCCACACCTCCGCGACCACGCAGGCCCGGTCAGAAGTGTGCTCTGCTGGTCCTCTCGGCCGGTCTCACATCTCATCAAGTTGACTCCCACCCTGACCGCCACAGTCTCCCTGTGGACCTCTCTGAGAACTGCCTGGATTAAATACACTATGGTGTTTAGGTCATTACTTACATACATTTGCGTAGTTAATATCTCTACACCAGTACGTGCCCAATAAAATCCAAGTGCTTTGCATACTGAGTTGACAATAAGAATGGGCCCGGACACAGCACATGTGGCTGTGAGAAGATCACTGAGAACATTCCTCATGCCTCAGGAAGGGCTGAGAATCGGGGTCTCGGGCTTACTTACCCTGATCTCCTCTCGGGCTGGATTTTATCAGAAGGGGCAGTACCCAGCAGACAGCTCCAGGTCTCCTCGGTGATTAGCTGTTTCTTGAGTGGTTCCAGACCCCGTGGATCTTGGCAGGGCCCTTGTTACAGGCTAAGCAGAACCAAAGGCAAAATCTGGTTTGAGAAATCGGGCATCAAGCCTAACCTGCCGACAAAACCAGGCGGAACCAGACATTCCAATTAGGAAGAAATGGACTTCGGGGGAAGCTCTGTTCGTTAAGATCTGATCCTAAGCCGCATGGCATGGATGCCAAAAGACTTCTGCCTCTAACTGGTGAGTCTCCTGAGCAGTGCTGGTTGTCTGAGAACCACTGTGGTAACTGTTATGTGACCCGCTCACACCGATGCGCTTTCCAAGCCAGAGTCTGTATTTGAAAGCTGTCGTTACTTTAGAAATATTTAGGTTAAAGCAGAGCTTTGGGATCTGTTTTCATTTGACCGGAAGCCTGCACAGCTACTGAGCTCTGGCTACTCAGGTGTAGTGGTTAAAACTTCGGGAAGTGTACTAGTTCTGTCACATAGGACAAAAGGATTATAATCTCTCTGCCTCAGTTTCCTTGTCTGAAAAACAGGGATGGAGCTAGGGGCCTCCTGGGGTGGTGGTGGAAGGTTTAAATGATCTGGCGTATAGTAAGTGATCAACCGACTTTGGAGATCTCAGCAATCATCCTGTGAGGATTTGTTCATTCGTGGTGTTCTGGTCAGAGCGGGGACGTCTCAGCTCCGGGCAAGGTCTCGAGACTCGCTTCCGCTGTGCATCTCCTCACACTTCCCAGACCAACATCGGGGAAGCGCCATGAGCCCCTCGGCAGGCTCAAGAGCACACAGGACAGAGGCAGAAAGTCCCTTCTTGGACTAAGCCAAAGTCTCCCTGAAATTTTGCCGAAGATCGTATTTGCTTAACGTTTTCTGTCTATGCATTCATGAAACAACAGTATTGCTTCTCCGCCTCTGTTTAAACCAAGTTGAGCTGCTGCTGCTTCTCCAGCCAGTTTTAACCAGCTTCACCGCATGGTTTTGTTTGTTTCCTGGACTCAGAAGCCCAGTCCTACTCCTTTACACCTCCAGTCCTCCTGGGCTTCCATGGCGGGATTTCCTGTTCCCTAACGAAGCAGCAAGCTCAGGTGTGCGTGTGCATCTGCGGTTTTTATAAAAAGCCGCTTTCCCCCAACCGTCAGCCTCCCATGCTCACGGGTCGTTGAAGGTTATTTGTTATCAGACGTCAGTGTGAAGTGTTATTGCCTTTTACAGATGGGAAGCTGGATGTGTTTCGCTTGCTTCTCTTAGTCCCGAATGGACTCGCACTATCTCTGACATTCAAGTTCAGACACGTCGTGTTGCTTCCACAAACAGAGCAGTGCTCCCCCCTGTGGGGGCTCCAAGTGTGTGTGTGGGGGGGCTGGGGTCAAACTGGGGCCCCGAGCTCAGGTCCTAGCGCTGGCCCATGGGCCGCCCCTGCTTTCTGCCGTGAGCATCCCCGCTGACTCGGGTTTGGTCGCACTACTCAGGGACATTAGTTCTGTTTCTGCAGACCAGGGATGGTGAACCTTTCAGTGACCCCAACAGCCTGCTGTGGCCTGAGTGCCACATGTTCGCCACCCCAAAGCAGACATTTGCGGGATTTCCCTGAAGCCCATCACAACCGTGCCTTCCCCTTTTAACTTTGGTGTAAGTTTTAATTTTCTCACTACCGCCAGCCGGACACACCCAGGGTGCACGCAGTCGCTGCCGCCCTGGTCAGCCATGTGGACGCCACCCTCCCGGTACCTGCGTCCTCCTGGGTTCCAACACAGACACGAGACTCGGGAAGCATCTGGCTTGTTCTGTCCGTGTCTGTCCACGCTAGCTCCAGCACACCCAACTGGAGCCATGTGCGGAGTCACCAGCCACCAGGCTCAGGGCTCTCAGGGCCCAGGACCTCTGGGGTCCCTGGGATACCAGCCTCCTGAAGCTCCCTAAGTGTGGCTGGGGTTGGTCACCACCTTCTAGTCTACAGGGTCTTCTGGTGGTGGTGAAAGTGTCAAATGGCACAATGTGCAGGGTAAGCCCTAGAATGTACTAAACCCAGAGCAGGGTGTGGTGGCCCATGCCTGTGATCCCAGCCCGCAGAAGGCTGAGGCAGGAAGATCCCCAGGAGTTCAAGGCCAGTCTGGGCTATGAAGCAAGACCACGTCTCAAAAAAAAAAAAAAAAAAAAAAAACCAGAAACCCCATACTCAGCAAGTACCCTTATGATGGGATTCTATCAACTGACACCAAGGCCACCCCTGGCTTTCTGCATTTGGAAGGCCGCCCCCTCCAACTCCTCCTGCCCTAAAACTGTCCAAAACAGTCCCCTTCCCTGGGACAGGGACCCCGTGGACTCACTGTGGACAGTGTGGACTCTGCCCCTGGGCTGGCCATGTGACCATGCGCGAGTCATTCTGGTCTCTCGGCCTCAGCTCTTTCCCTGTTGGGTGAGCACGGTCACACCTTGCTCTGGGACAGCCATCCAGAGTAAACGTTCTCTCACACGTACCCACCGTGGCTGGGTGGACACCAGCCCTGCCGACCTGAGGGCAGGTTCCGTGGAGTGTAGACGTTCCTACAGAAAGCAGTGTCTACACTGCAGGTGAGGAGGGAGCTCTGGAGCGGAGACAGGTTGCAGGGGTGAGGCTGGACCCAGCCACTTGGGGAGGCCACCAAGGCAAAGCCGCCCCTAGGGGACAGCGTCCAAGGCTGCTGTCAGTCCACAGGCAAAACCCTGGTCTCTGAACGCACAGAGGGAGTGGGTTAGTGGCGGGATTTGTGGGTCATGGGGACAGCACATCCAGTCACTGATTCAATAAAACATCTGCAGGCTCTGTGAGCGAGGAAGGAAAACCTCGAGTCATCTGCAGGAAAGTGCTGTGCGGTGAGGCGGTAACGCCAAGTGAGACAAACCAGACACGGACGAACGGACACCTGACGTAGATGTTTTGCAGAAGGGAAGGGGACACAGGGAAGGGGCGGACAGGACGGAGATGCGTGTGCACAGGCACTGACCGCCATCGGTGAGTGTGCTCCTGGCGCTGCGGGCGGGAATGCGGTTGCTCCTGCAGGGCCTGCGCTGACTGCTCTAGAACTGCCGCCCTTCAGGATGTGGGAGTTGATTCCCAGTCAGCGAACTCGCTGGTCCCCTCCTCCTCTCCAGCACCCTCAGAAAGCCAGCTTTGTGGTCCCTGTGGTGGCTGGTGGAGGGAAGGTGGGCCCGGCACAGATGCTGGTGGGTGGAAGTGGGTTACCCAGCTCAGCGGATGCAGAGAGGCTGAGGCAGGAGAGACCCCAGTGTCATCCTGATGCTATTCCTCAAAGAGCCTTCTCTAATCACACCCCGTGTCCTGCTTAATGTCCCTGACCCTGGCCAGCAACGGTAAAGATGGGGGGACATCTAGGAACTTCAGGGCAGGGCTGGGCTGTGGAGAGCAAGTCTAGCCCCCCTCGCCCACCTCAGAGCAGCGGGCAAGGAGCCGGGCAAGGAGCCCCATTAACGCTGTGTACAACTGTGCAGCATGTCCTATGGAAGCTGGGCCATGTGGGCCTCTAGTTTAATATTTTATATCAAGTTTATGTTTTACATCAACAACACCAAATATGTTGATACTATTTTTCTTTTGTACTTAAGATCAGACCCAGGGTTTTTGCACTGAGCCACATCCCCAGTTCTTTAACTTTTATTTTGAGACAGCCTTCCCACGTGCAGGCTGGTGGTCTCCAACTAGCAAGCCTCCTGCCTCAGCCTCCTAGTGAGGGGATGACAGGTGTGCACCACCATACACACTTGGCTTGAATTTTGTGTTAAAGCGGCCACATTGCAGTCTGTGCATTTCTGGAGGTCTTTCTAGGGAAGGCAGGGCCCCTTTGCCCAGCAGACTTAGGTCTTGACAGCCTCTGGGGATCACAGGTCCTGTGGCTTACGGCTGGGACACTTTCTTGCATGTCTGCTGTCCCCTGTG